GTTTGTCTTTGGACAAAGTTTCAGCTAAGTGGCCTGTGATTTGGGCAACCAGACCTGTGCCAGGCATCCGCTGAAATGTCAGAGCTTCATATTATCATTACATACACACACACTCAAAACGGTTATGTTTCCCAATGAGACAAAATAGTATCAAAATAAACAGTCTCCCCAGATTGTCTCACTGTGTAGTATAGTCAGCATCTGAACTTCCCATTCAGTCATGAGTTAATGGAAAAGGTAGTACAGGGGCAGGGAGAGAACTTGTGTAGAGACGTCAAACTTGTGTTTCATACCACGTGCCCAGCCTCTTTCAAAAGGCAAAAGGCATGTTTGTTTCTCACCCTTGATAAAACATGCCTTGTTCACTAGTACACCTGCAGAGACAAGGAAAGGAGGAAAAAATATCTTTGGAATCTAGAAATACCAAGGAATTCTCCATCATTTGCAGTTTTGAAATCAAGGCCATATGCTTTTGTATAATTTTCTATTTGTTTTAGTTCGATCAGTTGTTATGGATTTGCTGCAGGATTAATTTAGTGAAATTCTGTAACTTGGGTAATAGAGGAAATCAAATTATATCAAAATTAAAGCAAAAAAGTATTTTAAAAGAAATTTATGTAAAGGAAATAGATGAACAGTCTTCATGTCTATTGCCGATATGGGTAAAATGTAAGTTAGGGCTTAAATTACTACCAGAAAGACTTAGATTTGACATGAAGAAAATCCTTGGAACTGCAAATCCTTCAGTCCTTCAAACAGGCATAGGTAAGGCCTGGGACAAGTTCCCTAAGGAGGCTGTGGCATCTTCATTACTGAAAATTTTTAAGAACAGGTTAAAGAAACATCTGGCAAACATGACACTGGGTATAGTTGGTCCTGCTTTGAAGCATAGTGGGGGAACTAGATGTCTTCATGGGTTGCCTTCTAACCTTAACTCCTGCATTTATTTTTTCTGGGATGCTTATTACCTTTGTGGTGTTAAACTCATTTAAACTACTGAGAACTTTTTCTATTTCTTTTTTTTGTTCTTCAGAAAAATATCAAATGCTGATCAATCTCATGTATTTTCCTGAAATTACTGGTAAGAGAAATTAAAAATGGAAGTCATTACCAGAGGTTACTCATAGGATGTTAGTAGAGGTACTATTACACATAAATAAGTGATTATCTCACCATGTATCCACACACTAACTCATGTGAGCAAATACAACAATCTTAGCACCATTTCAAGGGAACATTGGCCACTGAAGTTACGGTCCTTATTAAATGAAAGAGGGTATTTATTATATGATGATTAACTCACAGAAAACTAGTTTCACTTGTCCATAGCAGGGCAACCCAACAGAACTGCTAACTGACACATTCCCAGCAAGATCTATCTTCATACGACATAAGTAGCAAACCCAACAGTGCTTGTCTGTCCCTTGACCTCCAACTGGGAAGTGTGACTTCCTGACCCAACAGACATATAACTTGTGTCCTTGCCAAGGACAGAGAAAGCAAGAAGAGCTGACCTGTAGACCTTACAGGCAATTAAATATGCCTTCCAGTAAGCCAAGGTTCTGCATCAATGCTCTAAGGCATCCTGTCACTTGATATCAGGCAAAAAACCAGAAGTGCTAACTCTACAGTCTTGCAACCTAGACACCACTCTAATGAAATGATTGCTCAGGGGCCTCAGAGCTTCATGTCCTAAACACAACCATGACTACCCAGGGGTTCAGACCTAGTAATATTGGCCAAAGAAGCTACAGTCCATCCAAATCAGCAAGCTCACAAAACTCTGTTATCTGACATTGGCTGAGGGAATAAAGGAAATGTCTGATGTCTCAGACATCAGCTCCTGCTTTAGGAGTTGTGTTTGCTGAGTAAACTTCCCCTCCTTCTGAGGGAACTGAATTATCCTTTCATCCCATAGTTTTTCACTAGTCCATGACTCCTCAGGAACTGTAGGACAGAGATGCTGAAAGAGATGATGCTCACCTAGAGGGTTTATGAGCACAAAGCCTTCCCATCAAGCCCCACAAACCAAATACACACACACACACACATGTGCAAGTCAGTGAGTTTAATTAGTGGACTGTGGTTTCAGATTGGAAATATATTCTTTCCGACTTTTGGAGCTTGTTCTCTGGTCCTTTTATGCAAGATAGTACAGTATCCTTGCCCCAGATACATCTGATAACTAAAGCTGAATCTACTACTGCAACTAATTCAAGTTCCCGGAAGTCCCGAGGAGATGCATATTACATTCACTCTTGTTTTTCTTTTCTGTCAAATTGTGCTACTACCAGTTTACATAGCTCATGGGATTGGCACTGTGCAAAATTCACCAACTGCAAATAGATGGAGGTATTATAATTGCATCACCTATTGCTTAAAATGCATCACTGCCATTTTTCTCATGTTTGTAGAAATGCCCAACTGAACCTATAGGATTATAACAGAACTAAGACTATATTCCTGGGAATAATAAGATGGAATCATTCCTTCAGAAATAAAGCAATTTCATTTAAGTCCAACTAAGAATGAACAAATTAGCAACAGATTAAGCATCTGTAACCTTTTAAATAATTTGACTAAATGTGCAGGATTATTAAGAAAAGATGTGTTTTCTTCTATTGGGATTTATGTCTAATATTTTTTTCACCACAGATGAGCTTCATCAGGCAGCAGGAGAAACAGCCAAAAGAAAATGGTCTGCTTGTTTGCTCAATAAATGAACTATTTGTTCTGTATTTTAAAGAAGGTGAAAACTGACACTGTGCTAATCCTGCCAGGCATGGACTGTGTGTGGTTGGTCAACTGAACCCTGAAATCTGGTTTACAAAGGTCTAGAAGTGATACAACACTGACAGGTTCACAGGAGACTAGTGAGTTCAGTGAACTCAAACTTCCAAGTCCGAATTTCCAACATTGCACTTTGGGGCCTTCAGAGACTCAGCAAGGAATTTCAGCTCCCACTTTTCCTTCTACTATCCCAAAACATGGAACTTGACATATCTAAGGTAGGTGCTCTTCAGAGAAATTACATGACCACCACCCACATCTACCCCTTTTTCTTTTTCTTTTGCTGAATTATCCTATTGTCAGTAACTCCAGGGATGCCAGGTGGCTATTCCTCATGCAAAACAAGTCATTCAGTATGGATTGCCAACCTTTGAATCCAGAATGTCCTCTAAGGACAATGAGTGAGTGGGATGTTTCCTCAGCAATTACAAAAGAAGCTCTGTCATAATTTCTAGCCCTGTGGATTTCTGCTACTCTAGAAATTACCCAGACACCATAAGGCCCCTTTGCCACAGAACTTCTGGAGTGCATATTTTTCCATTCTTGCCTTATTCTTTAGCAAGACAGATATTTCCTCTGCCCTGCCTCCCATGAGAAGACTTCTCTGGAGTGAGGAGCAGGCATCTATACAGTGGTGGCTCCCAGAAAACCTACCAATGACTTTGTCTACATCATTCCTTTCTTAGCATTCTTCTTCTGGTCCCATTTTTCCATATATGCTATGTGGCCTCACCTTAAAAAACCTCTAGCACACACCTCACATATCCTTATCAAATCTTACTTCATTTGGAGACATCAGCCTCTGCATCTCTTTGCAAAGGTTTCTGTCGTTGCTCTCTCTTTTGCCCAGTCTTCCTACTCTATTTACAGAATCACAGAATCACTGGTGCCACTACAACACACAGGCATTCTACTCCTATTTTTTTTCGCTACTCCTCTTCACATGTCCATGTCGTTCACCTGCTCTCTTCAAGCATTCATCTTAGACTGGAATCTCTCATTGATAGGAATGGTATTTTGGCATAGAGTTCTGTAAAATATTCTGTTTGTTTCCAAAATGTCTGTTAAAATGAATCTTAATGATGGTAGCAAAACTATTCCTTTCCTTCTCCTGTAACCTGGGTGAGATCAAAAGGATAAGAATAATTAAGAACACGGACCAGAGAATCAATCTCAATCTAAAACAGGAGTCAAAAGATCAGTTCTGAACAGGAGGCAATGAAAAGTTAGGCTTCATAGGCACTTAAGCATGCTAAAAAGGGCAATAAGTGATTTTTTTTTTTTTTCTCCAATGAAAGCTTTACAGCATTTCAGGAAAAGAAAAAAGGAGTAGGGAGATATGTCCCAAATTAGGATGAAAAGCTGAAGTGTTTGTTTTCAGAAGTGGTTTTAATTATTGTGAACCAAATGTTTTACGTCAACAACTTAAAATATTTTGTTTTGATTTATTCTATTTTTATAAACCCTCTAACATAAATTGCATTTTGAAAGAAAAAGTCATTTAATAACAGCAGTTGGAAACTCCTTACTCTATAAAAGTTGAACTAAGATATTTCATTAAAATCAAAACATGTTTTACAAAAAAATAGCTTCAGTAAACAATATTTTCCAGTGGAGAAGGGTTTCAACTCTACGATATTTTTAACAGCTCTGCTTTCAATTTTCTTCCAACACAGTACCAACAGGTGTCTACAGAAGGAAAATATCACAGGGAGATTCCTGGAGTTTCATGCTTTGTGAATACCCTGCTGTTAATGCTTATCAGGCATGTCATGTGTTGTCATGTCAAATGACTCCTACTGGTCATGGTAAGGAGATTGGGATTGAAGACACAAAAAACTACTTCAGCTCACTTGACTCTGCAAAAAAGGTTTGACAGATCTGCAGACTGTGCTTGCTTTCATGCAGATCTATTGCATTCAACATACTCCACCCACTTCAACAGCTGCTGATGACCACTTCAAAAAGCACTGACGCACTGTGAGGACCACTGCATCTGAGGTGGTTCCTACCTGAACCCCAGGCCAAAACTCACTGGTGCAGCACTATGTCCTTTCATATCTTATAGCTTTGTGAAAGACTGTCTTGCCCTTGACTAGGTCTCCCAAATGTAGAAGTAGTATGGCCCTGAGCTGTATCAATTTTGATGTTTATATCTGGATAGAAAAGCGAAGAGACATTACGGAATGCTGTTCAGATGTGTCATTTGCTTCCTGATGCCTGTTTGCCTTGGAGACACTGTTTGCTAAGCAGAGAATGGGTAAGAGGAAAAGAAGAAAAACCTGCAAAGATTTTCTCCCAAACCTGTGCATGTATAATGGCAACATACTGAGCAAAAATTCAGCATTTGCAAATACAGTCATATTTTCTCAGGAAATCTTTTTCAATTTTTATTAGAATAGAAAATTAGTCTCCGCACCACCACAATATATGTCCATATTTATATAGAGAAGCTTGAGAGAAAAACAGCAAAAAGTCTACCTCATGCAACAGTAATGAAAGACCAAGTATTATGTTTTTATCATAACTATATTAAGAAGAAACATCTTGCCAAATGCTTGTAATTACAGAGAGAGGGAACATACAGTGAGAAAGCTGATCTTTAAGTTCTGTGGATTCAAAATTCTATGTCATATAAAAAATGGTACTGGAAAGGCCCCACTGTGGCTGAAATTCATTATCATGCTCTTGAATAGAGGAGTCCGGTCATTACATTTGAATTCCAAGCTGTAACATTGTTTTGAGAGAACTGGAACTTCTGTGTTCCACTTCAGTTGTTTTACATCGGTAGCTGTTTCATATAACATGCACTATTTAATAATTCAGCCCTCTCATTCTGTTAATGCAAGTTCTAATTGAACTCAGAGAGTCCTGAATATTCAGTAGCTCACCCAAGATAAAGTTATGATCAATGACAAGCACTGATATAATTCAAAAGGAGTACATTGGGAGAAATCCTTTACCTGCAGAGACACATCATGCTATTCCATAAGCAGATACGCAGAAAACTCAGTTGTGTTGCAATCATATTCCTCCCCATGTGTTACAATCCAGAAAAGCAGAAAGTCACGGCAATTCATCTGGCTGGTGTTTTCATTCTCTTGCATACTTGGTATCAGATCCTGTTCTGCTACTGTCTGTGGGATTTGGACTCCTATTGGATTCCTCACATACAGGAGGATCCATGCTTTGCCTAGTCCCTGTTCACCATTTGGCCATTATATAGACGGATAACCACAGAGCAATACTAGTCACCTGAAAGCATCTCCTTAATTTTTTTTTATGTTTTCACAGTTAGCAGAATCTGTAGCCTAAAGTAACAATTAACCCTCTGAAGAACCTCTGCTGCAGATCTCATACACATCACAATAATTGATACATTTCGTGACCTTTTGGAAAGAGCACTGTGAACTATGATATCATACCTCATCTGAAGCAAATCTTTAGTCCATGCTTAATAGTTTGGTAACACTTGTATTAATAAAGAAATGTACCCTATGCCTAATGCTTGACATAGGAAAAGTGTAGAGTCAGCAAAATGTTAATTGTAATAATAAGTCTCTTTTCACAGTATCAGCTAGTTGCTCATCAATCTGCCTAATCATTACACTTCTCAACTGTACTAGATTTGTTTCTGCTTCTTCCATATGGAACTATGTAAAAGCTGAGTGCTAGGGCACAAGTCAGAGACTTGAGATGTTTAACACCTATGCAGAAATATTTGCATTAGGCGAAGAAACACACAGTGCTTGAGCTCAGGAACAGTCTCCACAGCTGCATCACATACTGGGGAAGAGGTGAGAAACTGATAAAAGGGATAAGACATGTGTCCTTATAAAGAAATGACCATGATATAGAAACTTAAGTATAACGAAGCAAGCGCCCGACAGCCACCTTTGAGATGGTCATTCACAGCTCTTACCAGCTACAGGCAAGTGTTCTCTGAGACAGTTAAACATGGATTTAGAAGAACCTGATATGACGGCAGCAAGAAAGACCAGCAACTAGTACAGAATTGTAATATTAGAAAATCCAAATTTTCAAAACTTTCAAGTGAATTTTACTAAACACTGCAACATTTTGGCTTTATCAGTTTTCTATTTTACTTTCCTTCTGGGTCTGGAGTCTTCACTATTTTTCCCATTTTCTTCCTCATTAGGATATCTAAAAGTAACCATTTAAAAAAATAACATGATGCTTCTTAGATATTAACATGACTTGAGGAAACAGGGCTTTTAAAAAGTATTAGATATTCTAAGGTATGTAATAAAACTTCAAAAGTTCATAAACCTAGGAATTTATTGGGGGATTTTGAAGATGCTGATCCTTCATGGACAGAAGATTAGAATATGCTTTCGGTCCAGTGTTGCTGCTGACGCAGCAGCTCATTTCACCATACTGTCTTTAACAGCAGGATCACATCGAAGCATAACTTATTCAGGAGGTCCAGGTGCCCTATGGAGATCTAAGCATCCAATCTAATGCTGCAGCCATATAAAGCCATTAGCAGTATAAAGGGATCAGAAATATGAGACTTTTTTATACATATAAGATCAGCAGAAATAAAGTTCCACATAAAACAGTGTATCCTCTCTTACAAAGAAGTGAAGGGCGTGATTTCACGATACAAATAGTTAGTCGGTGAAAATAAAAAAACCTATCACTATCATCAATCACATTTTACTGCATTGTGTGGCATTAATTGATTCAGAGTGTATCATTATATTGCAGAAATGTAGACATATGCTAATATCTATCAAAGTATATACATACTCCTTGACTTCAATTAATGTGACCAAATAAAACAAAATCCACATTTATTTAAAAACAGGTCCTGGTACAAAAAAGACACAAGGGGCTATCACATAATCAGACAGACTGGGGACTGTGGTCTACTAGCTAAGTGCACTATTTCTGGTTCAAGTAACCAAACGTATTTACTCATTTTATAAGAACACCAGAAAAGCATACCCAACACACAAAATGAAGCATAGTAGTTAGCTAGAAAAATGCACTAAAGAATAAACTAGTGCAGGTTTCTGAGCTGACCCCTTCTGTCAGAACTGCTCATATGATTCAAAATTGATGGAATAATCTTGTATTGGAGGAATCACCTCTGCAAAACAGAGCTCTTTCTCTGAGAGAATATGCTTCAGAAAGCTGATTTAGGAAATGGTTAGCAATCCGATATATGCCTAAGTAATACAGAAAAGTCTGTTTATAAAGTGAAGTATTTCAATCTCATTCACCTCTCCTTCTGCCTTAATTTAATGCATTAAGAAACAATTATTAAAGTGACTTAATTTTCTAACTTTCCAGGATTATGTATGACAACCTTGCTCCTGTTTCGTAGAGAATTAGACATATCTGTATTTGGCAAATGCCTGCTAATTGGAACCAAATATAAAAAGTATCATTAAAATGTATCAGGTGAATCGGGAACATCCTTTATGGAGCTTTGGATTGGTAACTGCATAACTTCCTAACTTGACTAGATTTTTATCAGTGAAAGAGCTAATATGGATAATGTCAGTTTAATTAAGAAATAAAAAAAATGTTTAATTCAAGCTATTAAAAAATTTTACTAACAAGAGATGAAAATTTTAAGTCTTCACACCCACATGTATAAACAATTCTGGAAATTCAGAATCATGAGGGGATTTATTTAGTTTTGACTTTTTATAAAGAAAACTCTTCCCCCAGAACATGAAAACTGAAGAATGCAAGGCATAAAGTGTAAAGTTCATATGTGAAAGAAATCTTCATTATTTACTGACAATTTTGTTTGGTTTGGTTTGCTTTCTTATACTGCAACATATGCAGTGGGTCAGATTTTTATTTCAGTTCCACATATGTAAATTAGAAGGACTTTCAATTAAGCCTTGTGAATTACTCCAGATTTTTAGTAGTTTAACAAAGATCAAGGCCTTGTTCAGAAATAGTGGCTTATATCAGTCAGGAACAGGCTGGGACAATTACAATCAATGGGACAATTACAGTTTGCATGCACATATATTACCTATGATGACACGAACCTGCAATTTCAGGAAAGCCAGTATATTCCTCACATAATTCTAAGCTTCATTAGTACTGGAGTTTATGTTCAGTGGAGAACTCTGCAGTGAAATGATCATGGTTTTGACAAGCAGAGTGAGGCTAATGGCATGCACAAAATGCTTAAGTAGAAACATAAGTATGTGCCTGAACATGTGTAAAATACAAACTCCGTTTGCAAGAAGCAGGGATCTGGAGACAGCATCTAGATTCAGATCGGCACATGTAGGCCTGCTACAACAGCAGGGATGGTCTTAATCTCAAGGAAATGAATGAGTATTTTAAAAAAAAGAGGATCTTCTGCCAACTCTTCTTCTTAGGCAAGAACCATCTTAAAAGTGCATATCCTCCTCCTGCAAACACACGCACATGCACAAACATGCTGACACATGAGCATGTATGCACAAGCATATATTTCTAAAGGTCTCCCAATACTGTTTAGATATGCTAGCAAGGGTGGTTTTAAATCAGGCTTTTCATGCAGAGTAAGAAAGCATTTCAATGATGGGGAATGTTTTTATACTCAGTTTCTCCAGTGATGACTTCCATACCATAGCATAGTAAGTGATTTTGCTTGTATCTTCTACTAGTGAAAGACAGGGTGTCTAAGACTGTAGGCAGTCGTGATCAGTCAGTTATCTGATATGTATTTCCAACAACAAGAAAAGGTCAAACAGCAGGCTAGCAGCAGGTTTCCAGAAAGGTGGAAGTTCTGTTCTTGCTGTTTGCAGAAGGCAATGTGAATAAACACTATTCCTACTCACAAGACAATCAAGGTTGTACAAATATGTCATTTTTATCTTCCCCTTACCTGTTAATGAAAATACAGCTGCAAGCTTATTAGTAGCTATTTCTATGATAAATTACACTTTGCATGAAAGAGATTCAGGGTATTAAGATTAGTTCTATAGTTGCAATTTGACACTAGACAATTTGTTATGGCTTTCATTGCAATAGACAGATCATACTTTTCTTACATCTGAGCTCTGCCTCTCATATCTATATTTCACTCTATATTCCTTCTAAAATAAATAAGTTTACTCCAGCTACCAGGCATGACGTGAAAAAAGTCATGAATACTTGTTACTTGAGGCTCATCTCACATTGAAATTATCCATGGACTTTAAGGAGATTAAAAGGAAGTCTTTCCCTCAATGTTAAATGAAAACTTCCTTCTTTTAGAA